AATTAAATAATACACCAAAGAATATAGACTAATAACATGCAAAAAGTAGACAAATTCACTTCTAAAAATGTTCCTGGCTTTCTAACTATGCGACAAGAGACCTTACAAATTCATCCAAGCTAGTCATTAACTTTCCCACGGGAACGATGTTGCTAGTCTGAGTGAAATTAACGATTATCTGTTCAGAACACAATGTTATACAATACACCATTTGATAGATGAAAACCTTGACTTTCTATTGGTTATAGGTAATATATAATGAAATGTAAGAGAGAACTATCAATCAATTGTGAAAGAGAGGATGTGACAGGAGGGGTCTGATTTTCACTTTGATAGCTCTGTAACTAAACAAAATTGAAGGCTATAAAAATTATGGTCTGTTTGAGCAATAACGATTTTATGGAGAGTATTTTACGTTTAATATCGTACATTTTCGAGGGGTGATGGATAAAATAGGGATGATGACATGCTAAGACAAAATGCGTCATGTGTGTCACACTAGTGGAAATTCAGGATTGTTCTATATATTTCCTTTTAGAATTAAGAACTTAAAACTTGTATACTATTAAAATATGGATTATTAACTAAGATTTTATGCTATTCTAATTGGTATAACATAAACAAAAAGTAGTTCAATAAAATTTTGAATCTAAGACACTAAAATCTTGTGTCATGCACAGTAAAGGGTACCTGGGCCGATACGGTTAAAGTCTTTATAGATTTAATACTTCTAACTTTCAATCTAGTGTGTATATCTTCATAAAATTTGGCAGTCTTTCAGTTAACATCACAAGTCTTTCACATACAAAAATCATATTTTTTAGTGAAGTATTTTTAATAAACCAAAATAAAGATTTGTCCATGAATATATAGAGTATTTGTTTTGAATAATTTGTGTGCAAAGCGATTTTCATGTTAAGATTAAAAATACTTTTCTTCATTTCAAAAATTCCAAATTTCATTTGTGTAATCTCTAAAACCTAAATGTATTTCAAATGTTTGTTTTTAGTAAAACTTCATATTTTCTCTGTTATTTTCTCTACCCTAACTTTGTATAAGGTTCGTCAATTTGACTGACCTCGTACACCCCCTAAAAAAATCGAAATAAATTAAATTACCCTCTTTTTCTTTCTAGAATGACTTCAAATATAGTGTGAAACTACATTTGTTTATCCTAAGTAGCTTTAAACTCGTAACAGTATACATCTATTTGTAATTAAATTTATTATTTTATTGCTCTTTGAACTGTGTCTAACTACTATTTGCATCATTATAACTTGTAAATCACATGAGGAACATGCAGCTCATGTTATGCTATCAAATTATATTATCCATGAGCTAGTCCAGGTTGCTCATGCTTGTGCCTCGTGAAAATTTTTTATTATATTATTATTATAGTTTAATTTACCTAATCTAACCTTCACTAACCTAAAGAGATTTCTATTTTTACATTTTAGTTACTTTTATAATAATAAATAAAGAATAAACAAAAAAACAAGAAATAAAGTATTTACCCGAGTATTCTTTACTTTTGCTATTGATGACAGTTAATCCTACTTTTTAAACTAATGGTAGTAGTGCATTAAATAATTTTTATTTCATTAAGTAATGCACCAAAGAACAGTCTAGTAACATGCAAAAAGCAGACAATTTCTTCTAACTATCACAATTTTTCTGGCTTTCTAGCTATGCAACAAGACATTATTTGATAGATGAAAATCTTGACTTTCTATTGGTTATAGGTAATATATAATAAAACGTAAGAGAGAACTATTAACAAATCCTGAAAGACAGGATGAGACAAGTGGGTGTGGCAGGGGTCTGATTTTCTACTTGATATCTCTGTAACCAAAAAAAAATTGAAAGCTATAAAAATTATGGTATGTCTGAACAATGACGATTTTATAGTGAGTAATTTATGTTCCTAGGGGAAATTCAGGATTTTTTTTAAATTTACCTTATAAAATTAAGAACTTAAAACTTATATACTATTAAAATATGGGTTATTAGTTAAGATTTCATAGTATAATAATTAGTATAACATGAACAAAAAGTAGTTTAATATAATTTTGAACGTAAGACACGATAACCTTGTGTGTTATGCAATAAAAGATACTCAGGGCGAGAGGGTTAAAATACGCTTGAAAATACTACATGTTTCAAAAATTCTGAGTGAAGATTCACATGCTGCTTTCAGCATATTTATTACACTTCTGATACTTTTACTACATAACCTTTAAATATTAGGATCTTACGGTCTATTTATTTACTTTTGTTTTTATTTTTCGTAGGTTGCAGATGATGGGTATGGTGTGTCATATATTATTGCTGGAGAAAATATAGTGTTTTTCCACATTTCGAGCAAGCGTTCTTCTCCAGAAACGGTAAAATATTTGTTGTCTTGTACTCCCATTTCATTCTCCAGTACTCACAAGAATAGTACTCTTTCAGACTATCCAGAACTATCTAGTTGCTGTGATGGCAGTGCTTAAATGGTTGGGTTGATATTTTTTTTGCAGACATGGTCATTGATTTGGTTCCACATGTTTAGTATTGCAATTTTTATAAGGGAGGCTTTAGAGCTTGGTTTAAGCTTTATATTAACATTATGAGAATTCTTGTGCAATGGTCTAAATCTTTTATGACAGGTAGGTATTGACCTGACACACAAGGCACTCTAACGGAGCAAAGTGAATTTTTGACTCAAAATTTTAAATATCCTGTGATAAAAAGTGATTTGACACTTCATAAATTTCACTAGTTGTGGACAGTTTGATATTTTCGGCCCTGCACAGAATCTGTTAGGTAAATCAAATGATTATTCATTTATAGGAAGAATGTATACACGTATACGTCTTTTAGAATTTTTACAAAAATATATATATATTTAATTGATGTATTAATTATAGTATTAGATTCATTGCTAACTCAAGTACAGTAACATTAGTTCCTATTTTACCAGTTTTCAAAATAATGCTTTTATTTTTAAATGATTACTTTGAAAAATGAAAACACAAAACATAAGGTTATGTTTTGTAGAACAGGTTTTAATGACAAAGGAATACTTGAAGTATTTTTCATACTACCATTTATTTATGCCTACCTACCTGTGGAGTGTTGTTGAATTTTCACATCATACTCTGATATTTTTAATGGTACCAAGTTTTTTTTATTAATATAAACCAACATTGAAACTTTCCACTGTATTGTGTTACTACTAATGTGATCTTGAAGTACTGTTTTTACATAAATTCTAAATGTACAGAACTATTTATTTTTTAATAGGACTCTCAACGATTTGCTGGACAGATAGAGAAGGCCATGGCTGACATGAAAGCACTAATTGATTTTTAATAACAGACAAGTAAAAAAAAAAAGATTAGTAAAAAGAATAAGTTTGAAGAAGGGAACCAACAAAAGAAATTAATCCAAGTCTCCAAAAATATTATCTTTATGGAATAGTAGAGCAATATAGCCAAAAGTATTCAAGAAACAGGAAGTGAACATTTAATGTTTTGTTAAGGACATCAGAACAGCCAACAGTATTATGTGCCTTTGTATAAGATTTCTTTTAAATGGTATTATGTAAGTATTTTATATAATCATTTAGTGTGCTTTTATATTTGAAGACTGAGTATAAATTTTAACACACTGTGTTTTCTGTTCTAATATCCAGGTCTCTATTTTTATATAGAATTAAACCAACACCTCCTTCTTATAAGCTTGAAAATATTTGTTTGGTAGTGTGCATAAGGTAGCTAAAAGTAACTCAATGTACCAATTTATTATGTACTTAAAACATAACATTTTTTATACTAAATTATAACTTTTCAATCCATCATAAAAAAGTTAAGTATTATTTAGAATTTAAGGGAAATTTTGTATGTAGAATATTTTAAAAAATTACTAACATGTATGCCATGTATAGTTCATACATTTTTTCTTTATGTTCGATTGGTTCACAGTTAGGATATTCATTTTTGTATCCCATTATTTTCCTGTTCAGTTTTCTTTTACATTTGTACATCCTTAACATATTACATCAGTTCTAAATATGAATATTGTATTAGTTCTGTAAACTTTATTATAATCTTTGCAATTATACTTCGTTTCGAGCTTTCATTAGTTTGTCTTTCAAAGACTGTTATTGTATTATTAACACAAAACTCATGATAGGCTATCTTCATTTTGTATACACTGAAGAACAAAATACCAGATTTTAGCATTGTATGTCTATAAACGTACTGCTGACCCACTGGGGGGACTTCTTTTAAGGAAATAAGAAACAGCAAATGAAAAAACAATAGTAGTAAATTTTCTGTAGCATATGAGAAAAATCTTATTAAAATTGTTCTTGTCTGTAGATTGTTTCTGACAAACCTTTTGGTAGTGTGAACTAATAGTGTGTTATGATGCAGTCATTTCAAGCATGACTGTTAATATGTCCAATTCCAGGATAAAATTCAATTTGTAGTATAACTTGTATCTTACTTTTTCATTGTTAGTACAACAATTTTCTCCTTTCCATGGATTTATTTATTGCCATTAGTAGATGCTAAATTATGCATGATATATATCTTAGTTTGTTTGTTTTTTGACCCAACATTGTCCAGCAAGAACAGAAATTTAGCAAATAGTGTTTTAAATTATTTTATCTTTTAAAAGTAAAGGTTACCAAAATTTGGAAGGTTATAGTTTTGGTTGTGAGGAAAGTCAATATTTTATTAAAAGACAATAAAGTTTGGTATAGAATAATTGAATGTGTAAATATTTGATAGCTGCTTTAGTTTGATACCAATTTTAAATTAGATAGTTAAAAGTATGTTTTATTTGCAAGTTTCTGTAAGAAAATGTTTTTTTCTTTATGACCTTACATAAAATAGCCAACTTTGTTATTAATGGCTTTGACAACAATATTTTTGCATGCAAATGATACATGGTAGAAGTTTCTTGTAAATATTTTTCATCCTTGAAGTACTTGTACAGTTTAATAAGCTTATTATATATCAGGATCTTACAGAACCTTAATATGTCGTTTCTGTTAGCAACACTGTTAAGTCTCTCATAGAACACTCTTTAACAGTTATTAGATTCTATACATTTTTAAGAATTGAGTCACTCTGATATGTTTGAGGGTGAAAGGAGAGAGTGTTGTAAATGGCTGTAGTAGGTATTTTTGAACAGAATGTTTAAGAATAGTATAATGAAATGTGAAAATGTCAAATCAAGAAAACAAATATAGCATATTTAAAATGAACTGAATTATTTTGTTATTTTGACTAATCCTATAAAAGATATCTTCAGTGTAAATGTAATTTTCAAGGGTTTGCTTGATTTAAAAAGTTTTAGTTGTTTATATTTGCTAGACAGTTCATTTTCCTTGAGTCCTATAACCAAACTTTTTATCCATTTATTAAAAGTGGGGCCACTAAGTTAGCAATGCAAGGATTAACACTAATGCCAATGCAAATCAATGCAACTGTTTTTACATACATATATATATATATTAATTAAAGAATAATGTACATAAATTTGTAGAGTAATTGTTTGCATGTGTGAGTGCTTGGCTCGTTTTAATTGAATACTTGATATAATGCTCTCTTCTCCATAAAAGTTACGTTTTTGTGCTCAAGTTACACAGACTTACCTGTGATAGTCTTGATTTGTAAGTGGCATTTTACATGGAATTACTTTAAAATTATAACATGATGTGTTACTCTTGCAGGTTCAGAGTGAAAACTAATATGTTAATACTTGAATGTGCAAGTAGTGTTTCTTTGAGAAAAACCTTAAATTTAGGTACAAAATGTAGTTTTCTTGCTGGAAACAACACAGTTTGATTTTTAAAAATATCTAAATCTTTTTTTCAACTGAGCAAAACTGTATTGGTATGTTTGTGTAATCTACTTACTGTTATTTTCCAAAACTTCAACAGTGTTTCTTCCAGGGTTACATGGAGTTGAAAAGTAATCTATGTTGTTGTTGAAAATACTCTGATAATTTCAGACGTGTTTCACCTGACTTCTGGGTTTGTTGCCCAAAAAGTAATTTGGTGACCCCTATTTATAAAATTTATATGGACTTCTGACCTGTTGTAGTTTTTACTATTTGTAATTGCAGTCAAAATATGAATAGTTTTGTGTGCTCTCTTAGTAGTTACTGCATAGTTTATGGAGGGGAGAGAGAGAATTTTACAACATGCAAAGGAAAGTAGAAGTTAAATTAACAGTTTATGTTGAGGTATGGGTGATAAGCTAGTGTACACAAAATCAAAATAAAACAAAATTGGGAAATCTGTGTCTTTTCTTTTTTCTAAGTGTAGATAGTAAGAGCAATGTTTTAGGTAAAAGCTGTGTAAGGAAGAAATGAACAAATGAAAAATAGTATCTGCCTTATATATAAATATCTGACCAATTCATTTGCTCTTAGGAAAAGAACAGTACTTTAGAAAAAGCAGTGAGCACTTACTTGCAAGTAGAAATGTTATAGATAAAAAACAGTAATAACCAACATAATGCATAAAAAAACCTAACTAGTTTCTACACACAAGTTTCTAGTTCCCAAAACTAGTCATGTCTCTTTTATGCTTTGTTAGTTCATTAATAATTTATGCATTGTTATGTTGATGTGTTATTACTCTCATTTTATGAATTTGCACAGAGTACTTTAAATATGTTGTGGCTGGCTGCCAAATAGTTGATACTTAAACAATATCACAAAATGCTGGATTTACATGATACTCTTGATATCCAGCATTTTCCTGGAAAGCATTCCGGTAATACGATATGGAAAATATTGTAAATTATTATGAATATATAGGAAATTTAAAAATATTTATGTAATAAGGGATGTAGCAAATAACGTGAAAGGTTCTAATGATGCTTGATTAGCAAGAGAATTCTGTTTCCTCAACACTTGACAACATTTAGTTATGAATGCTGTAATTCCAGTGAGCTGTAGTTTATCTCAAAACAGTCAGTAGCAAGGATTTAGTCAATATTTCTAACATATCAGAATTAGTCTTCACAAAATGATTTAAATATACCTCAAAAGAAACTTGTATGGGATATACAGACAAGATGGAATTCAGCATACCAGCTTCTAGAAAGGCTTTGGGAAGAAAAGAGAGCAATATGTCTCTTTGTCATTGACAATATTATCAACCTCAACAATAATTAATGGTCTCTGTTGAAGTCATATTTAAAACTGTTACAGTGATTCAAAGAAATTACTAAAAATGGT